TTGGCTCGGTATAACCTTATAATCCGAAGTGGAGAAAGGGTTTCTCCAAAATCTGAATTTGCTTTTAAAGTTTCTCGTATTGCTAATTTCGAATGACCATTGAAACTCAGTTACCTTACATGCACGAATTAAGCAGAATATTCATAATGGACAGGGGAACTAAAACAGCTGTCAATAAAATACAAAAAATGGATTTAGCAGGAACACCTTACAGAAAGGAATTGTTGAGCCCTACTCATTGACGGCAGTATAATATTAAAACAGTTTGTAGATTTCATGGAATACGTTGATTGAAGAAACTAGTCCCGGACTCTTGTGTAATAAAGTAAAGCAACTTCAAATTCCATAAAAGGCGATACTTTTTTGACTAAATCTTCTTCGACTACGAAGCCTAAGTTTTCAAGAGAAACGCTTTACCAATGAACTTGTTAATTAGACAATATAATCAGCGCATTTAACTTAGGCTACAAGTTAAATTATTCTTCTCGAAAGCAACTTTCTAGAGTACATTTATTCGATTATACCTCATTGTTATAGGCATAGGTAATGATGATACTGACTATTATGTTATTCTGGGTTGTGACGTCGATATGCTCTCAGGTAGATACAAGCGTTTCGGAGAAACATACTGACTCTATTATCAGGGCTAAAGCCTGAAGATGGGTTGAAGCCCTGAAGATGGAGAAGGTATGTTTCTCCAAAACGTTTGTATCTACCTGGAAACATACCGGTGTCACAACCCAAAATAATATAATCGCTATATTCACTGCCATTAGAGCCTTAAATTTCACATACTGAGTTCTATTTAAAGCTCAGACAAATAATTTCAGTTATGCTCAAACGTGTAATATCGTTTCACACAGTCTTATATGGGCTGGTTAAAATGCACATAGTCTGAAAGCCTCACGTAGGCTCCATATTTCACCATACAAAACGTTTTACACAGAATTTTATAGATGAAATTGTATTTAACCTCCTAAATTACCTCAAATGAATAGTGCCATTTCAGATGAATATTCATAAATAACGGTTTGACAATCCAATTGTATTCAGTAATTTTTTATGGAAATATCAGAATTTACTGTAAATCGTATTTAGCGTAACGAATGTCCCAAAACTAGCAGAGATGAATCTCTGTAACGCCATATTATGGTTCTAGCTCTTATAAATCTCCTGACTATAGAAAGGAATTGAATATAAGGCCCTGATGCAATATCACTGACGATATTTGTGCTATCAATCTGACGGCGTTCGGGTTATGGCACCGGTCTATATCTTTAAGTAGAAGCTGAGTCTCTATATAACTTTACTCCAGCAAGAAGCCTATTGCTTCTCGTTGCAGCTAATTTCAAACTCCTTCCATCTCGTTCCATTTCCCCCGTCATCCTTACCTCCTTCCTGTGTTTTATGTCTCGTACTTTCTGCCAACCTTCCAATCCTACGCGTCCTCCTCCTCCTTCATTTCCCACTTCCATTTTCCATTTTCTCGCTTAAAAGAAAACTTTATCTTCTCAAGGGAAGTATGATTTCCCCATTTTCCTGACACCCACATAAGAAAACTTCTATACGCTTTTAAGTAAAGTAAGGAACAACTTGTGAATATTCTCGCATATTATGTGTATATCTTATTTTATTTCTATCTCTAGGTGTTTTATCTAGCAATCTTCATTGACAATTCTATGAAACATTCACTTGAAAACAGACTTGTTAAATGTTCCTTGCCGACGTAGTAGGAAAATTCCGAAAGTACTGATTCATCTCTGTAAATTATTGTAAAGTTAAGCGTTAGAACTAAAGTTTTAAATTAAACTATCGCATATAGGTATGAATGATTAAAATTTGATTTTCAGATCAACAGTTTTAGGAATTAGGACAGAATTATAAATAGAATTATTATTACAATTACGTTCAGATATGGGCCTGTCATAATCAACGAATGAATCAAAACAGTTCTATTCACTGTTTTTGCTGGTGTCATTTTGGAACTGTTTGAAAAATCCGCTTACGATAATGTGCGTGCTACTGAGATGTTTTCGCTCAGTATTTGATACGAGTTTCTTAAACATAACAGTGACAAATACAAAATAACAAGAACTATTATGACACAACGTAATCGTACATATTTTTTAAGTTGAAATTATACTACATGCATACAACGGATGGTTTGCTCTTAGAGTGTCGCAATTCTTTTAAGTTTCCTTAATCACTAGTGTATTTCACCTATTTTCCTTTCTTGAGGAATAAAAGTAAGCTTAGAAGATCTTCATGATACTGTCTCTGTAGGTTTTCACTTTCAACTTTTTAACCAAGTGGCAGATTTTCATTAAACTTGGCATGAATGTTATGTCATTAAAGGCCACTCCAATCTCAGACTTTAATTTCCTGTAATTGTAATAAAATCATAAGGACAAATGAAACTGGGAGAAAGAAGCGACTCTATACAGCACCACTTAATATAGTTCACTGAAATGGTGTATGGTAATAAATAATTTAATATATTTATTTGTAAGCTGTAGGACAACAAAATGGCGTTTGTGTGAATATTTTCTTCAGCTATAACTAATAAAATCTAGCATGGAGATAATCATAATTATTAAAGTATGCATGAAATAGTTTGTAATTAAAAATTACGAACATGATGACGGTGTGAAAGTTTGATGCAACATTTGACAAATGCAGTATTGCATTTTAATACAGTGACAAATACTTCCAAAAGCTAATAATCCGAAAATTAAAATATAAACTAATGATAGTAATAATATTTTGCAATAATTTTACAATGTTACAAGAGTTTGTAACGATAGTATGGACATCTCCTCCATGTTACGCTGCATTTCATTGCCATAATTTAAACTTACATTAGTAAAGCATAAGACTAGAAATGTATGCATTAAGAGAGTAAACTTTCTTAGTTATGGGCGGACATATATTTTTAAGTAAGAGCAGGCATGGTTTCAACTGTGATTATGGATTAATTGTTGATAAAACAACCCGCAAATGCTATAGACTAAATCTAGTAAGCCTAATTTATAATCTATTGGGAACATTTAATACGAATTACTCTCCCTCCCCCCCATTTCTCATACATGCTCCTACCACTTTATCCTCATTGATTTGATTATCCCAAGACTGTTAGATAGATATTACAAATTATAGAGTTCTATATTATGCAGTTTTCACCAATAACCTGTCACTACACATTGCTTCAGCATCCTCTTCTCATCAGACACAATACTGTGAGAGACAAATTTTCACAACCATATAAAACACTAGATAAAATATAGCTTTCCATACTATAATCTTTAAGTTTTGGATTACAGACGGAAAGACAAACGATCCTGAACTGCGTGGTAGCAAGGAGACATTGAATTTTATCTGCCTTCAATGTCTTCGTTAATGAAACTGAGATTTGTTTCAACTGTTCCCAAACACCTAAACGTTATCATGTTTTATATCTCTTGTTGCAGGTATAGTGAGCATTGAGATTTGTTTCAACTGTTCCCAAACAGCTAAACGTTGTCATGTTTTATATATCTTGTTGCAGGTATAGTGAGCAATCTAACTGCAGATAATAACTGGATTTTTTGTTCGCAGGGTATTTGGAATGATAAATCATGGTCGCCATTTAAAAATTACTTGCAAAGGAGAGGACACTGCAATTCAGCTGTTGTTTGGTGGGTTTGGTAGTGACTGGTTATATACTAAGATTTTAATCGATATTTCATTATTAATCTAGGACTAACACTGATTAAACATGATCTACCATAAGCGGTATACCATTCTTTTAAAAACGACTACATATTACTTTAATATTCACTTAATTATCTTGTTGGTTTTCCGTAGAGAAAAGAAACATTGCGTATACGACGGCGTTTCAAAAAGTAACAGCAAATTGACAATATTTCACGAAACGAATACCCCAGGCATTTCAAACTCCCGCACAGGGAAGATACGTTCTTAGAAAAGGTTTTGACACTGCCCAATAAATGGTGTGGCGTGCTTAATTGGAAGGGATGCAAGTACGAAATGGCGGCGCCCTTAGCTGTGTGCACCGTAGAGGAGCAGCGAGCAATCATCAGATTTTTGTGGTCGCAGGGTGTGAAACCTCGTGAAATTCATAGAATAATGCTACATTGGCGACAGAAGAGTGTACGAGTGGGTAGATGTATTTAAAAATGAGCGAACATCAATCTGTGATGACCCACTTTCCGGTAGTCCATGATAACGCACGCCCTCACACCATTCGGAAATTGAGATTTCAGATCTTACATCCCTGACATTGCTCCCTCTGATTATCATGTGTTTGGACCCCTTAAGGACGCGTTGATTTGGGAATGACGACGAGGTCAAAGAAGCGGTGTATTCCTGGCTGAAGGCACAACCAAAAACATTTTTTCTGATGGAATAAAGAAGTTGGTGCAACGGTGTGAGAAGTGTATTGAAAAGGAGGGTGATTATGTAGAAAAATGACATATCATTTGTATCTCTAATTAAATTATATATCTCAAAATATTTAATTTGTTGTTACTTTTCGAAACACTCTCGCAGTATTTGTGGACACGTTTATAAATTTACGGTTGCAATTTTATGTGAATTCTGATAAACAATAATCAGTAATAGTCAAAGATTTAAGAAAAACTACAGCTGCTATACTATAGTATTTCATTTTTATAATCATGACCGAAATGAGAATATCAAAATAAAAAATATTACATGCGTGTAGTCTTACCTTTCTATAAATGAAGAGAGGTCTACAGTATTAAATATCTAGTTTTGTATCTCACGTAAAGATAATTTTAAAAAATGTTCAAGGTAATATCACTGTAAAAACATAACACTTTATATGATAATTTTAAGAAAATTTTGTTCCTTGAGTTAGAGTTAAATTTGGTAATGGTTCAGAAATGAATTATAAATTAATTTATCTTGTTATTAAACATTTATCTACTTGCTCAAATCTTTTGTTAAATAAGTCTATTTCTTTAAATTATGTTGTTCTACAGAAACTTCCTCGTCTTCTTCATATGGATTTCAGTGTAACAATATAATTTTAGCCTCTGCGTCCAGACCGACTCTAGATCCTACACGGCCTCTTATCCAATGGGTATCGGTGTTCTTTTCTGAGGGTAAACAGCGGCCAGGGTGTGATGCTGACCGCTTACCCGATCTAGTGCCGAGGTCAAGAATGAGCAGGAGCTATAACCCCTCCCCGCAAGCGACCTGCATGGCGTGCAAGCGGACTGATTCGCTTTATTTTTTTTTACTTTACTACGGAATTTTCCTGGAGAGACTGAGGAAAACCACAAAAGGCTAGTCAGAATAGAAATTTGATCCCGGGACCTTCCCTAATACAATGCCGGATTTCTTACCACTCCACTAATGTTTATTGCCTATATTATTTTTTATCTTTATCCTCTGGATATATGTATTGCTACATATGTACGAAAATTATAAATAACAGTCTATTTGTAAAACTAATGGGATTGTTATTTTTCAACGTAGTGTTTATTTATGTCATCAGATTCACACAAATTGCTTCCAAAGCCGTTGTCATAAAACATTTCAGATATTACCAACATAAGGCAGCGTGAGAAGTCGACGGATTTGTCAGACACGGTAAACATCTAATAAATTACTCTTCTGGTGTTCAGAAGACAATGGAATGAAAGGCGAAAAGATATTAAAGGTAAGGACGACCTAAATGTAGGTATAAAATATTAATAAAAATTATATAATTTCTGAGAAAAGAATCCCAGTCAACAAGGTCATGGCATTAGTTATTTTATTTATAACTGAATATTTTTCAGGATCAATAATTGCCAATGAATACTGAAGTATTACATTAAATCCAAAAACCTGTATTTTTATTTTGTATATATATATATATATATATATGCTTTTAGATCATGCGATTTTAGTAAACTAAATTGTCAATTACTATTTAAGAGTAGACGCTAATTTCGTTAACAACTTAAAAAATTCTGTAATTTTAAATCTTAGTTTCTAGATAGATCATATTCTGGAGCTACATCAATCACGTACTGACCTACATAAACTGCTGCTGACTTTTTTGTGTTTAAATTTATTTAAGACAGCGCTGATTGATGTAAGTGCTTGGATATTATACGACTTATGCAAAAATTACAGTTCAATAAAATGATGCCTCATGTCCCACCTGCTACATAATAAAGTGTAAACAAATGGTTTTATATGTGGGATCGTTTCCATTTCCCGAACAGTTATAGCCTATCTAAATAAAAAAGAAGCAATTACAGCAAATGTTTTCCGCCTTGAAACTCTAAAACGGAAGCAGTCCATGTAGACACATAATATAAAGGGACAATAATTATTCATAAATCACATGGCACAGCACAGCACAGCAACACACAAAAACAGCGCCAAGAGAGACAGGGAGCAAAAGCACAGTAGAATGAGACAAAAAGAGCAGTTAACCAGACGGAAATCACAAAACTTTATATACCTCTAAGTGAGTGTCTTCTGACAGACGTTTATCGGGACTTAAGTGGCACTTGAAACATTTTAATGCTTTCCCAACATCACCCCACTACCAGCAACCAACAACTTGTAAATGGTATTATGATTGAATCGTTAGGGTTGATACCTTCACTATAGTTACATATAAGCTGTAAACAAAATTTTATATCCTTAAAAGGTGTGTTTATTATGGAGGTGAATTAGCGCTTTAAGTTACTCGGACTATCTCCGTTCATTGTACTGGAGAAGAGGAACAATGATTAAGTCTTTGAGAAATATTTATGAAAACAATGCACAGTCAAATGTGGTTTTGCAAATGACCGAATCGATTGAGAGAGGTTCACTTCAATATTACTTTCTACCACTAAGAATTTAGATCATCTTCATTTCCAAATGTGCTCCGGTCTGTAAAATATATTTTGAATGTGAGATTCAGAGTTCTCCAAGAAACCAAAAAAAGATATATCGTTAACGAGTTTTCATGAAATTCGTTCAGACGTTTAAGAAAGTAAACTAAGTCTCTTGAAGTAGAAGTCGACGATTCAAATTCACAATTTCCAAATCCGAGAAATAACCTCGATTTTGAGTCAATTTCGTCGACCTCCCACCTCATATAATCGATTTTCCAGCGATACATCTTAATACCAGGGTTTATACAAAAACCGACTTTTGAAAAAACAGGTTTTCGAATTCCAGTATTTCCAAAAAACCGGTTTTCGAATTTTTACAAAAAACAAAACATAATTAAAACAGTAAAAAAATATTTATACTTATTTTAAAAGTTTTCAGTTTATTTAATATTTATAGAACTACAAAAATATAACAATAAAATATATTCCAAACAAAACCAAATAAAAAAGTAAAATAACTAAAATCCGTACAAAATATAAATTATAAATTTTTATTTCATTTAGTATTTTTCTTCTGGAAATACGATTTAAGAAAACATAAAATGTCTACTGAACGATTACTTAATCTTGTTCTTATTCTAGATACAAAATTGCCTGAAATAGAAAATACTCTCTCACTGGCTACTGAACTTGGTTTTATCGTTTTCAGGGCATCAAATAATAAATCTAAATTCTTTGTTCTGTTATTGGTTGCCTCAAATACTGAAAATTCGGCCTTCAGTGTCTTCGGACTTGATATTATTTCTTCAGGTTCCTCAAGAAACCTATGAATTAATTTTTCCATGGCTCCTTTTAGAGCATTGCCCTGATTAATAGTTTCTCCGTCTCCGATATATTCATCATCGGAATCTGTTTCCATACAAGAATTTGGATATATTCTAGACAATATTTTTCCAGATAACTTAATAATGTCGAGTTTCGAGGCTAGTGGAAATACACTAGATTTCTTTGTTGAAATGTTTTGTGGATTTAGCAAATATAGCAAAAGGGTTACCAATCCAACTTATCTTCTTTCTTGAATTCGTACTTCTAAAGCATTTAATAATTTGGAAATAATTCCAGTCTTTAAATTTTTTAGTTCATTTAATAGACATTTTTACATATTAATTCTAGTATCTAAAACCGGTTTTTTAAATTTTAAAAACCGGTTTTCGAATTTTACAATTTTATCCAAAAAACCGGTTTTTAAACCCGGTTTTTAAAAACCGACAAACCCTACTTAATACTAACCACACATTCCTTCTCGACCTTTCAAGTAGCTGATGTTCAAGAGGTATAAAACCAAAAATTTGTACGTGTTCCTTACCTCCCATATATGCTCTATATGACTTGCCAATCGCAACCTCCTGGAGTTCACTGTCCTGACAATACTAGAAGTCCTACATAAATCATAACATTTCTCATTGTGTTCTGTTCTCTTAGGATGGAATACTTTACTTGGCTCCCTGTTTCTACGTAGATCCACATTATTTCATATATTTTTAATTAAAACATAAAACATGCACTAAAATAAGATATAAAAATGCTTGCAAACGTCTCTGAAAAATATTCAAATTCACACAGTTAAGAGTCCACGACTTTCGCCTTAGGCCACCCATTTAAAGGAGACTACATCTAGACAAAAATAACAAACGTTCCATTCGAATCTCGAATATCAGGGGTGAACAACGGCAAGGACCGTAAAAATTCAAATGCTACCCGCGACGATACTCAGATTTTTTTAATACTGCTAGTGTGATATTTCAGGTTCTGACAGCGGTGAAGATTTCGATGTTGTTCTTGACAGCTAAATATGGAGGCAGTACGTTCCTCCTAAATGGTATCTACTAATACGTTCACACAGCGTTGCTGCCCGGACATCAACGACATTATGACCCTTTGATAATACAAAGAGGGTCGAACTAGCCTTATCTGTAGCCACAGAAGTGAGTAAAATTAAATAATTTTACGGAGACTCAAAATGTTGATACCTAACGTGCCTTAATACTGATCAGAGATATTCTGTCTGAATGTCACTAATGGCACAGATTTTATGAAGTATAATGATATGAAATATGCCGAGTCACTGAGAATAAAGTATTGTCCTTCAATGTCTTTCGCGAGGCCATCCGTTTTACGGATAATTTGAAATACACAAGTCCGAATCTTAACTGAAAGGAAGAAGCCAACCAGTTATTTCAAACTACTCTCAGAAATACTCTCTGCATTTTATAGCTAAAAATGATAACCATGTCAACTGCAGTATAAGTTAACTGATCCGGAAGCGGAATTAATTCAGGCTGCATAATGCTGTTTGTGTTTAAAAGAACTGCGTTAGGACGAAGAGGAGCAAATCGTCTTCCCCGTGGTTTTTAGGATCTTGTAACGAAGTTAGGAAAGAGTACGGTCAACTGCATGGAAAATTATTTTCTTTTAATGATGATTGAGGATGACATTTAAGACAAGCATTGAATCCTCCCCCAAAACATAGCAGGTCTATTTAAACAAAGAAGACTTTAAAGAATGTACTTGAAGTGACGATAAGAACAGAAGGGGAAGTTACCACTGCAAGACAATACTCGTTGACTTTAGTTGAAGAAAAACACAAATCACATAATAAAATCAATCTTGGAGTTCAGATACCTGTTAAATAAGCTTAAATTCACACGTCATTTGTTCTTCATGCAGTCAGTCACATTAAACCACGAGAACTTGAAAGCTTTAGGATAATGAATAAACAAATTTTAACTCCAGTTCTGATATGCAAATAAAATATAATATTTAATTAGTGTGCAACCATCGAGGTTACTATTTTCTCGATATTAATTTAGCGCCTATAGACCTATTATACAAAATGTATTCCTGATAGCCGAACCAGTAAAGAACCGCGATTCTACTTTTACAAATAAGAATGTACAGCTATAAAACCCCCCGGTTAGCATAGGACGTTTCCAAGCCAAGATTTAAAACCGAGACCTCGACACTACGAGGGCAACCAAAAATTTTAACAAGACGTTCGGTCACCAACACTGCTTAATGTAAACTAAACCATATTTAAATTTAATTAAAACAACTTCATACTGATAAATCAGTCCATAAAATTGCATGCAGCCAGGCTGTTCGATAAATTGTTATTTTTTGGGTAACAATCTGTTGGGCCAGGCCGTGGTCTAGGCAACACGGAGTTTTCCTCCGTGGCATCCCAACAATTACTCCATTCACACTCACACAGAAGAAGGCAATGGCAAACCACTTCTGGATCATCTGCCAAGAACGTATATGAACAGGTCCCAGTCCGAGAAAAGGATGGAAGGATTCTGTTCATATAGATCTGTCGTCAGACAGAACACTAAATAAATAAATAACAATCTGTTGTTACTTTCTTTACCATGATACAAGAAGTTATTAAAGCACATGTTCTTATTTCAGGAATTACACAGCAAATCCTGTGGATGTTTCTATCAGAACTTTTGGCGGATCAAGCCTTGCAGCACTTGGAAGCTCATTTGAAGACTTGGGCTTATTCATCTAACTGAATCAACTGTGAAGTATTACATTGTATCGGAATATTTTAAGATATGCGAGTATATTATCAAATAACATAATATGGTCAGTTTCTACAAGTATTTTAAAAACATGTTTCTTGTTTTATTCACTCAACCAAAGTAATTTAAGTAAAGAATATTGTTCGAATACACACAGACCACCAAGTAAATATAAATAAATTCGAATGTGTGGCCATCCTAAGAATAATTTAAACTTTATGCCTTAACTGCCAGCATCAACGCAGTTTTAACCCCGGAATTTTGTTATGAAGTTTTGTTCTTAGACTTTAATACAGGTGGGAGATTTTAAACCGGTGGCAGAGTCAAATTACTGTACACTGAGTTTAGATAACTCACTAAAGCTTTAGAAAAATAATTCTTTTACAGACTATATAATACGAACTTATATTAAGTTGAAGACAGAAATCTTCATACTCACCGTTGTGAAAACCTCAAATCTTACATTATCTGTAAAATTATTAGTGACCATCATATTTAACTCCATTGAGAGTAAAAACACTGTGGTGCTATGACAGACAGACGAGACCAGTACAGTAACGTACGTAACTCGGTATTTTAGAATGCGACTCAATGAAAAGTATTGTGCTTTTGTGTCATAATTTGATTCTCACTTAACTCTTTCAATGAGGAGAAATTCGCGATGCTTTTATATTATATTGATTAATTTTTTACTTAAGTCTCGTTTTCGTAACACCTTAGACCTATAGGTCGACAGAATAATTGTATTTCCGATGTGCAATGTTTAATAATAACCAATTATGCTAACATATTACGAAATCTAAGTGACTGCTATTATTGTTTCGTAATACATCCGCATACAATCACATAATTTAACGGTGTTAGATAAGATAATAATACTTCAATGTGTGTATGACATTTATCGTTGAAAATTATCAACCGGTTACTGGGTAGGTATATAGAACAGGGCCGCGTGAAGTGTAACGAAAATTTGTCTTATTGCAAAATGACATAGTGCTCGCAAGGAAGTTGTGAATTTCTTTTTACCAGTACTTACATGATCTCGAAAATATAAATTAAAATTGCTTTTTTAAATGTAATGATAAATGGGTGAGCACTAATTCAGCAAAAAATATAGTTACCGCAGTTTATTTTTAGAAAATAATTTTAATTGTAATTATTGCATTTATTACAAATTATGCCCTGTTAAATTGTTTAATCGATTATAATGTCAAAGTAAATTTTGTTATATCTCGCTACTTAGGAGAGCTGTCAATTATGGGAGAACGTAATAGACAATATATCTGTAATGTAGTTTCCTGTAATATAATCTACTTTACGTCAATTATGGGAGAACGTAATAGACAAGATATCTGTAATGTAGTTTTCTGTAATATAATCTACTTTATATATATATTTTTTATATTTTAGGTAACACAATATAAACAAAGGATAACCAAGCTTGCCAGAAGGCAACAACAGCAGAAACAACGTTCACCGTTATGAAACAAAAATATTCACACAATCTGAAAGTTATGCTGTTACACTACAGTGATTAATGTTGTTATATAATATCGAGTAAAATTAAGGTAAGAAGTGAATAAAATAATAACAACAGCTGCTAGATATTGAGGTAGAGGAAATAAAATATCTTAGAATGGAGTGTAGAAAAGCGAAATGACTGTGCTGGGTACGACTTTGTTATGATGAATATAAGACCATTTTTATATTCACTTAATTTCTAGAAGCCTAGATGTTTAATATATATATTTGTAGTTATTTCATTAGATGTAGATATCTATCCAGAAAAATACACATATTATATAGACATATCACAATCTAACACAAAGTATTTTGTAGTATTTCACCATGATACATCATAAAAATCTCCAAAGTACTACACAAATATTTTTTTAATTTTACTCTACAAGGACCTACGCTCATGCTGCCTGATTCTTCTAACAACAACTGAATATGAAGAGAACAGTGTGCCCGCTTCCCATTTGTAATGTCTCATAAAATTAAATGTCGTATTTTCCTACTCTCCATAAGTCATATTATGTACATATTAATACGTGATGTATAGTACAAATTATGAATACTCCTCCTCAAGCAATAAATTCCTCATTCAAATAAACAAAAGCACCATTGGAATGAGAAATCTACAATCGTCTGGAAAAGTTGTATAATATTATACATACTGACTATTATTTAGAATAAATTTTAATCTTATTTTTACAATTCCATTCAATATTTACAAACAAAAATTGCTGAAAAGAATTGACAGGATCCGTCAAAGGCAAGAGATTTGAAATCAATCGAGATTGATTTTGACAAGGTAGACTTGCTACAATTAATTACCACTTATAACTTGTTTATAGCTATATATTTAATTTAACTAAACCTAGATATTATATTGCTATGCTTCTAATTTTAGCATATATAGAACAGATCAAAATATTTACCCCATTTCTTATTCTTGAGGATGTGACAACTATCTTTTGTTATGAATGGTCGTATCTAAAACAGAACATTTTCTTTATAATTTTTTTATTCTGTAGAAGCTCTAAATGCCACAAAGAGAATAGCCACCATTCATCTTCAAGGAATATAAACGCATAGGATATCCTTCTAATTTTAATTCTTCTTTGATTCCGTGAGTGAGGGTTAGACAACAGATCGTGGGTCAGTTGCATGTAACGTTCTGCAACCAAAAAACAGCACTGATCTTTCCTGAAAACCTGAATAATTACTGGACATAATTAACTACAACTCGGAGCTAAAATTTAATGAACCGCATGTAACCCATTTCCTATTACAATCAAACTACAGGCAGCTTTTATATACCACTTTTATAGCCTTGAATGGTTGTTGGTTATCTGCCACATCATCTTTTACTTTCTGTATCTTAGCTACTGGTACAGTAAAATGTTCTAACATATGTAAGATTTCAGGTAAGAAGATGGATATTTTCTGGGTTGTTTCTCGATGTAGTCTGCTAGAAGTTCACCGGCGTTTCATAGGTGCTTACTGCCTTCATGTTCAAGGCGATTGCCCGAATTATGGTGCAACAACCCAGAAAATAACCAGAATCGTTCTATAATTTGTTCGAAATTCATACGTTTTCACGTTCCTCCAGTTTATATATGATAAAATAACTGACTTTACTCTCAAAGTTATTTTTTATAAATATTTAAATTAGCAGTACAGAAAAACCACGATTACTAATTTTATTATTAAGAAATTAAGACACTTTGGTTTTTCAAACATGTGACATTTACTTCATAATAACTTTTAGAAATAGCTATCCTTTTCGCTCTCAAACTGAACCCCCCTCTCACCGAGAAAGCTTCACCATGCTTCTTGTATCAGAATATATCATTAACGCCCCTAAGCCAATAGGGAGGAATTAATGCCCATAAAACAATGAGTACGTGTTTGTTTAAGTGGCTGCACTCAAAGCAAAGGGACTTCACGCGGTGTTTCCAAGCAGGGGGCTACTTTGGGCGCTGCACGTTCTGTATGGTGAACGTAATGTGAAATGGACCCAATGTAATGCTCTTATCAGTCTTCGGCAACGGAAAAGTTCGTAATAAGATTGTTTTACGACGAAGAATTGTTACAACTTTATGAAATATGTAAAATTTAAGATTAAAATAAACAGAACTTTTACCCCCTTGTTTCACACTAGTGTAAAATTTGGATTCTCACTTCAAGGAAATTACACATGTTGAGAGTGTTTTGAGAACAGGAAATTAAGGAGAACATTTGAACCTAAAAAAGATTAAGTGATAGATTCGTCGAAGGTACTGTATAACATGTTGAGAGTGTTTTGAGAATAGGAAATTAAGGAGAACATTTGAACCTAAAAAAGATGAAGTGATAGATTCGTGGAAGGTACTGTATAACGAAATATTATTAAGACGATAAAAATCAAGGATTATAAGACGGGCGGGGCAACGAAATATTATTAAGACGATAAAAATAAAGGATTATAAGATGGGCGGGGTATGCAGTGCTTACGGGGAAGTAATAAATGGGTGCAGAATTTTAGTTCGTAAGCCTAAATTAAAGATAATTCTGAAGACCAAGGCGTATATTGGAGTATAATTTTTAGATGGATGTTAGGGAAAAAGTGTTGGAGGGTGTAGATTATATTAATGTGGTTCAGGGTCCTTGAACTTTTGAATTTCGTACGAGGCGGGGAATATTTTGGCTACCAACAGAGTACTATTAGATTCTTAAGAAGGTAAATCAAGCAATTAGTTTTGTTTTTTCTTTTATGTAATTAGGTGTAGCGGCAAAAGATAAAAAGTAAAAGGAAACTATAGTCACTTCGGATTTAATTGCCTCTTAAGAGAGTGATTAACCAGAAAGAAATCATCTAATGTGTGAGATTATAGCAAAATTTGCCGCAAAATTATTTGACTTATTCAAATATTTTCATAAAATTCGTATTTTTGTGGTATACACAAAACACGTAATATTTTAAATACCTATCATTACCCTGATGATGGCAGCAGTAAGTACCTCAGAAATGACGGTAAACGTTTACCAGACTATAAGATGCAACATCCCAGAAGACTGCCATCCTCAGATTTTGTTTGCACGTGCGAGTGCAACGACTTTTCTTGGAATTTTAAAACACGTCTCCTCAAATCTTAGATGCAGCAAAGTTTATGTAGCTCGATGATCTTTGCAAATGTTGGATACGTCCCAGAAGGAGAGGAAACAGTTTCAAATATTTATAACGCAGGCACTGTGGAGTGTTGCTAGTGTTACTCAGAGCTCCCGTTAGCAGACCTTTAACATTTAGCACGCGTTTATTCCTGTTTCATTCCCGTAAACAATGTCATTCAGAAAAAAGGCAGCTTCGTACATCTGCTACTTGTCAGAGAGCACTCGAATTCATATTGTAAACTACTTCAAACTCTGTTCTGCTTTCTGATTAAGATCGGTCGAAGGATATATAATCTGCATTTGTCTTCTAATTGAAGACCGTGAAAGGGAATGTCGATAAACTAAATAAAATAAAGCAAGCCTTCCTAACTTCATTTACATCCGTATAATCAAAATTATTGAAAAAAATAACTAATAAATTAAATGGTACATCATAATATTTAGCAGTAAATAATTTTCAAAATGTTACAGAACTCCTTGCTTTCTTAGGGGATCTGAAGATTTAACAGGATGTTCACCAAAGACTACCATACAATTCTATATTGAGCCAGTTTAATCCAGTTTACTCCCTCAAACTTTATTACTCACAGTTCAATTTCAAGATTTTCTTTCCATCCATGCCTAGGCCATTTGTTCTTTAGAATTTCTAACAAGAATATGCTACCAACCTCGAATGTGTGCTAAAAAATAATATGAACAAATCTGACTTAGGTTACACGATATCAAAGGTCCAATTACGTTTAAAATGTTACATATGAACAGAATATTTTCCTGGATGTGTAAGATTACTCCATAATTTGGCAATAAACAAACAGAGTTCATTTACCCTACACTGTATTTATTTAAATGGGAATAGAAGTCTCACTGTGTGCGAGAGCTCTCTACAGAAATATTCAATGACTTTAGCAGAATTCTGTGTAAAACATATTGTAGCACTATAAAGCTGAATTCAAAACTTACAGAAAAATAACATATATTGATTTACTACTAGCGAAAAATAAATACCGCGAAAATTATGGTGAATATATTTAATGTGCTGCTTTCCGCTTTTAAAAACAGAGTTTTAGCTTTGTGAATGCTTACGTTCTAATAAAACCAAGCATTAATATAATATAATGCATATGTATCTGCACCCAATTCTAGGACAGTTTACAAATTACAGTAAAATCATTGTAGTTTCAGTTAAATTTTTAAATGCAGTCCTAAAATCCTTTTTGTAAATTTACTAGCATTTATATCGTTCGCTGTGATTTGTTTATTGCTAAACACCGATGAATGACGATGTTACTACAAAGAGGAACGACATTAATAACTTCACTGCTGTGATTTATTGCTAAACACCGATGAATGACGACGTTACTACAAAGAGGAACGACATCAATAACTTCACTGCCGTGTGAACCCTTAATCTCAAATACTATGTTAATTAGTAATATTTCAATTCACATGTTCCAGATGATGTGTACAGATGATTCTGTGATGAGTCACCTAGGAAACCAAACACAATGTAACTTCTTGAGAAGCTGAGACTCGCCTAGCTAGTCAACGGAAGTTCATTTTCGTGTTCAGAAGCGCCCCTTAATGGATCCTGTCCAGGCCAGATGAATTAAGTGCTCACCCTCAGAGTATATTCTTATATTATACTTTCATTTACGCCTAGGTCTTTCAAGTATTCTCTTCCCTTCAAGTTTTCTGATTAAAGTGTTGTGTAAATTTTCATATCTACCTTGCATTAGCCTTTTGGGATAAAAGGCTCCTGCAGAAATCTATATTTAAAAGACACTGGAATAAAATGAGATAAGTAACGGAATGAAGAACTCGAACTGATGATTACAACCAAAAAAAATAGTTGAAAAAAGTTACGCGGTAAATTATATGGTTGTAATAAAGGCCAACTCAAGTCGTATCTTGAATCAATAGTTAAATAATACAGGAATGGATGTAAAGAAAAACTATCTAAATCTACCCCTTGAAGCTTTTAAATAAATCCCAAGTTTTAATGGTCTATCGACTTAACTGCCAGCATTGAGTAAAACGTAGCAGTTAATAAAGGAAGATTCACGTCCTACATTAACCACGAGAGGTCAAATTAGAAGCTTGTAAGAACTGCCACCTCGGCTGCATAATTCAATAAATTACATAGTGAGGAATCTAAATTCCTTTAATTATGAACAATATATTGGATTGGTAAGATCTGTTGCAATTTAGTGTATCAAATGCTGTTTCTATCCCAGAACGATAATCAATGAGTTTTTATTCTAATTGCAGATGCTGCCTTCATACACATCACATGAAGCCAGTATGTGTGACGAACTGCAAAATAATCCCAACACATTCAACTTCAATGGATACCGGAGATGGAACGCAGCTTTGGACTATCCAGTTACCAGGTGGTAACCGATTACTGGGAAAATTAAAGAATTTTAAAACACGTCTCCTCAAATCTTAGATGCAGCAAAGTTTATGTAGCTCGATGATCTTTGCAAATGTTGGATACGTCCCAGAAGGAGAGGAAACAGTTTCAAATATTTATAACGCAGGCACTGTGGAGTGTTGCTAGTGTTACTCAGAGCTCCCGTTAGCAGACCTTTAACATTTAGCACGCGTTTATTCCTGTTTCATTCCCGTAAACAATGTCATTCAGAAAAAAGGCAGCTTCGTACATCTGCTACTTGTCAGAGAGCACTCGAATTCATATTGTAAACTACTTCAAACTCTGTTCTGCTTTCTGATTAAGATCGGTCGAAGGATATATAATCTGCATTTGTCTTCTAATTGAAGACCGTGAAAGGGAATGTCGATAAACTAAATAAAATAAAGCAAGCCTTCCTAACTTCATTTACATCCGTATAATCAAAATTATTGAAAAAAATAACTAATAAATTAAATGGTACATCATAATATTTAGCAGTAAATAATTTTCAAAATGTTACAGAACTCCTTGCTTTCTTAGGGGATCTGAAGATTTAACAGGATGTTCACCAAAGACTACCATACAATTCTATATTGAGCCAGTTTAATCCAGTTTACTCCCTCAAACTTTATTACTCACAGTTCAATTTCAAGATTTTCTTTCCATCCATGCCTAGGCCATTTGTTCTTTAGAATTTCTAACAAGAATATGCTACCAACCTCGAATGTGTGCTAAAAAATAATATGAACAAATCTGACTTAGGTTACACGATATCAAAGGTCCAATTACGTTTAAAATGTTACATATGAACAGAATATTTTCCTGGATGTGTAAGATTACTCCATAATTTGGCAATAAACAAACAGAGTTCATTTACCCTACACTGTATTTATTTAAATGGGAATAGAAGTCTCACTGTGTGCGAGAGCTCTCTACAGAAATATTCAATGACTTTAGCAGAATTCTGTGTAAAACATATTGTAGCACTATAAAGCTGCATTCAAAACTTACAGAAAAATAACATATATTGATTTACTACTAGCGAAAAATAAATACCGCGAAAATTATGGTGAATATATTTAATGTGCTGCTTTCCGCTTTTAAAAACAGAGTTTTAGCTTTGTGAATGCTTACGTTCTAATAAAACCAAGCATTAATATAATATAATGCATATGTATCTGCACCCAATTCTAGGACAGTTTACAAATTACAGTAAAATCATTGTAGTTTCAGTTAAATTTTTAAATGCAGTTCTAAAATCCTTTTTGTAAATTTACTAGCATTTATATCGTTCGCTGTGATTTGTTTATTGCTAAACACCGATGAATGACGATGTTACTACAAAGAGGAACGACATTAATAACTTCACTGCTGTGAGAACCCTTAATCTCAAATACTATGTTAATTAGTAATATTTCAATTCACATGTTCCAGATGATGTGTACAAATGATTCTGTGATGAGTCACCTAGGAAACCAAACACAATGTAACTTCTTGAGAAGCTGAGACTCGCCTAGCTAGTCAACGGAAGTTCATTTTCGTGTTCAGAAGCGCCCCTTAATGGATCCTGTCCAGGCCAGATGAATTAAGTGCTCACCCTCAGAGTATATTCTTATATTATACTTTCATTTACGCCTAGGTCTTTCAAGTATTCTCTTCCCTTCAAGTTTTCTGATTAAAGTGTTGTGTAAATTTTCATATCTACCTTGCATTAGCCTTTTGGGATAAAAGGCTCCTGCAGAAATCTATATTTAAAAGACACTGGAATAAAATGAGATAAGTAACGGAATGAAGAACTCGAACTGATGATTACAACCAAAAAAAATAGTTGAAAAAAGTTACGCGGTAAATTATATGGTTGTAATAAAGGCCAACTCAAGTCGTATCTTGAATCAATAGTTAAATAATACAGGAATGGATGTAAAGAAAAACTATCTAAATCTACCCCTTGAAGCTTTTAAATAAATCCCAAGTTTTAATGGTCTATCGACTTAACTGCCAGCATTGAGTAAAACGTAGCAGTTAATAAAGGAAGATTCACGTCCTACATTAACCACGAGAGGTCAAATTAGAAGCTTGTAAGATCTGCCACCTCGGCTGCATAATTCAATAAATTACATAGTGAGGAATCTAAATCCCTTTAATTATGAACAATATATTGGATTGGTAAGATCTGTTCCGCTTGAGTGTATCAAATGCTGTTTCTATCCCAGAACGATAATCAATGAGTTTTTATTCTAATTGCAGATGCTGCCTTCATACACATCACATGAAGCCAGTATGTGTGACGAACTGCAAAATAATCCCAACACATTCAACTTCAATGGATACCGGAGATGGAACGCAGCTTTGGACTATCCAGTTACCAGGTGGTAACCGATTACTGGGAAAATTAAATACTCATGGATTCACAGACTAATCAATAGGATAATAGGATGGGATTTAGAACGACCACGAATGAGATGGTCTGAACCGTTTATGTATCCTCTGAACGGGTCTAATTAGCATACACTTTGTAACAAAGGAAAAAATGAAGATGGCTGTCTCCTGGGAAGCTGCTCCGTTTAGTGTTTTAGAATTTTAGGGACGTTTCAGAGGTGTGTACTACCTCCATCATGCGGAAATGAATAATCGTCCAGATGATGGAAGCAGTAGAACATTTACAGAAAAATTCAACTGTATTCAGAGTTAACACAAGGCATAAGAACCACCTTCATAGACCAACTACCAGGCTTTTGGGTTTTTCAGCAAGTTACTATGCTGGTGTCAAAATCTTGAACAGCTAACACCTAGCCTCAAACAATTTCCGATAAAAAGGAAAAATTTAAAGTATCATTAAAATACCTAAATAAACACATAATTTGTTCTACTGATGAATTCCAAGAGCTTATAAAGAACTTATAAACTTTTAAGGTTTTATTGTGCTTAAATAGCACATATCATTTTATTGACATCTGCTGTATAGCAGTGGATTCGATACAATGTAACATTTGAATACTTTCTGTTAAACTTATACTGTTTGTGATAATGTAATATTTCAAATTTTACTCATCTGCATGTTTACTGCTTTATGACTTGTTCCAATTCTTATAGTCAGTCTGGCAAATATTTGTTTCCATGATTC